TAGTTCCCTCCCTTATAAAAATTTGGCCAAAACTCAATATATCGAAAAAAATTATTTTGATCATATATGATCAAATATTTTATAATCTATATTTAAAAACATGAAATATTTGTTATAAAAATATATTTTGGGAAAATTCACTTTAGAGCACCTATGTAATAACATTTTATATACAATAGTCTAAATAAGCATTTAACTATTTTTGTATCGACAATGAATAAATTACTCGCTTAGTGTTTTCAAAAGAATATAAAATAGTGCATATTATAATTAGACTATACTGCACGTATACTTTCCTCATATAATATTAGTTTTTGATAAATAAAATGAAAAAAAAATAATACTAACCATTTCAAAATATCAACATATATTGTACCTTTGAAATATATTTTTATACATAACTAAATCAAGGATATCGAAGCTGAACTAAGTGATTGTTTTTAACTTAAATGAAACTTCATAATGTCTTTTTTAAGAACCATGTCAAATTAGCTGCTAATATCTGCTATTCAGCATAAATTGTCTTCGTAAACAAAAGTTTTATATAAATGTTGCATGGCTAAGAAATGTGCATTTAAAAAATTGAAATAGAGTATTTTAAATATTACATTGTTAGCCACGCCATAAAAAAATAACCGGCACACATTAATGTGAGTTTTTCTTCACAAATTTATTCTCGTTTCTTTGGTGTTAAGAAAATATTGGTAAAGTTCAGGGTATTAACATAGTATAGTACTAGATATTAACAAATATAAATTAACTTCAGGTTTTAACCAATTTTCGGATATATGTAGGTACCTACTATTATTAACCAAAATTTTAATAAAGAAGAAATAGCATGGCAACACCGCATAGTTTTCCAAATAAAAATAGTGTCCTATATGCACAATTTTATGCTGAATCGAATTATGTACAGAAAAATGGGAGCTGTGATTTAAAAAAGACAACGCTTTATCATTACTTTTTTTGATACCCTGTATATAACAAAATATTTTTAGGATATGCACTGTTATAAACCATGCAAATATCTATATAATACTTTTTTTCATATTTTCGTCTACAACGATGATATTGGACTTTCTCACACTAATAGGCCACTCTGTATCTATCTATTTATTAGCTTATGAACTATATACCGGTTATGTTCTAACCATTCTTCAATCTGTTTTTTTTTTCAATTTTTGTTAAATACCTTTATAAAGTAATACCCTTGTAATTATTGGTAAATAAATAACACTTCCATTTATAAATCTGATTGTAATGAACAATCATCATTGAAAACGCCTTATGATAAAGCACTTTTTTCTATGTTAATGAATGATTCTGAAACGCTTGGTAAATATTTATAGATTTACTAAAAAATATTAACTGATACATTCATTTTCACTGATATAATAAAATACAGGTTTTGGCCACGTACGTCCATAAGAGCGAACCAGTGTGCGCCGTCCCGGTTACAGTTCATGTTGATCGCATTAAAATAATATTGAAATCGTGGCTTTGTCATAACACTTAAGTATTTTAGTATTTTGCTAGTGCAGTTACTGAAACTATAACACGTTAAGGAGTAAGTTATTGAAACTATAAAACGTTAACGCGTAAAGGAGAGCATAATTAGGGCGTTGTTGAGTGCCATAACATTCAATAACTCAACTTTCCCGGATATTCAACTCTTCCGAAACAACATTTTATAGCTTCATAGTTTCTCACACCGATTTGATCAAAAGCAAAAATGGTGTGAAAATTGAAAAATGCTCGCTACCGTAGTTGAACTCATCTAAAAAGGTTTTTTTAGCTGGAATAATAAATTATAATACAAGTTAGACCTTCTGAAGATATCAAAATATTTCTTTCTTTCTTTTTCTTTTTAGAATTTTCCCAAATTATACTTCCTAATACGTTTAGAATAATTATACTAGGGCTGACATTTCTGGTGTTGGGTGCCGATTTTCGTGTGTACGAAGAGTACGGTCAACAGGCTTAGCAAAATAAGATGTACTGAATAAAGAAGGCAAGTATTTTTCCAAGCGTATGGAATCTAGCGTCAGATTAAGTAGATATGTAATAAATACTTTGTATTTTTGCTCTCTCCGACTTACTAGATTGCCATAGCGATCCACTCCTATACATGTAAATGCCGACCCAAGGTTTCGCTTGCCAGCAGGGTATAATACATTTTTTGTATGCTCGCTATTTAAACTCGTGTATTTGTATATATCAGTTGTTTCACATATTCTCCGATGGTTGCAGCATCGGCGGAGAATGCACGAAGCCTATAGCAAATTTTTAGTATACAGGGTCCGGCAATAGTGCGTCGTGCATCTGTAGCTCCTAGAATAAAAAATTTGGAAGTTTTGTTTAAGTGCAAACCATTTTGTATGTACCAAGATGTATTTCAGGAAAATATTTCAACTTCTATAGGGTGGCTCAAAAAAGTGTCAGTGGATCTGGATGATTATTTTTAAATGGAACACCCTGTATATTGTTGCATTTTTGGCTTCCTTTCTGATCACTTTACATAATCGTAAAATATGAGTAAATATATTTCGATAGTTTCAGAGATATTAAAAATAAATTAAAAATATATATTTTTCAACCCTTCTTAAAAAAATTATTAAAAATGCAAGAACTGTTCTGAAATCAAAACTATATCAGGTATTTACTTTAGATAGTCTGTTCTTATTTTGATATAAATATGGTAATCGTAAATCATAGAGGATGTTCAATATTCTACGCCAAACTTTCTAAAATATAAAATATCTTTTCTTTGTTTTTTTAAATAGAACACCCTATATATTATTTTTTTATTATATGAAGAGTTAAAAAATGAACATTTTTTGTATTTAAAGTATTTCAAAATTTTTAATAGTTTTGCAGATACACGCAGTATTATTTCATATGGCGCATTCAATGGTAAAATACGAGAGAAAAATTATTGGGTGTCTTTGACAAAAATTTATTGTGGAAAATGCCATACCGCGAATATCTGCGAAACCGTTAAAAATTTTGAAATACTCTAAATACAAAAAATGTTAATTTTTTAATTCTCCATCTGCATACAGGGTGTTCCATTTAAAAAACCAAGAAAAATTATTTAATATTTTAGAAAATTTGGCGTAGAATTTTGAACATCCTGTATGATTTACGATTTCCATAATTATAGCAAAGTAAGTACAGACCATCTAAAGTAAATAGCTAATATAGTTTTGATTTCAGGACAGTTCTTGAATTACTAATCATTTTTTTAAGCAAGGCTGAAAAATTTATAATTTTTATTTATTTATTATAATATCTCTGAAACTATCAAAATATATTTACTCATATCTTAGGATTATGTAAAGTGATCTGAAAGAAAGCCAAAAATGCAATAATATACAGGGTGTTTCATTTAAAAAAACTCATCCCGATCAACTCACACCTTTTTGAGCCACCCTATAGAAGTTAAAATAATTTCCTGAAATACATCCTCGTACATACTCGTTAAACAAAATTCCCAATTTTTCTATTCTAGGATCTACAGATGCCCGGCGCACTATTGCCGGACCCTGTATAATTTTTAGTATGTATTTAGTACATTAAGTATAAACAGAATACGGAAGACTGGATCTAATGCTAATACCTCTTGCTCCTTTGTGGTTTTAGTGATTGTATAGTGATAGAAAAGTTGAACAAATTAAGCAAAGCAAGTCCTACTACTCTGGATGCCCGCTCACCAAGATAAAAGAATATAAGGCAATAAAAAAGCAAATGATCTAGCTAGAAAAGGAGCGAACACTCCACTAACTGGACCAGAACCTTCTCTTTTCTGAAACCAACTAAAGGCGGAACTGAGGAACCTGGAAAACTCCATCTGTAACCTGGAATGGGATTCCTCAAACGGTCTAAGACACTCAAAAAAGTTCCTCAGAACTTACGACTGAGAAAAATCATAGATTTTCCTTGATTTAAGTAAAAACAATTCGAAAATTCACGGAGGTTTCTAACTGGACACTGTCTCCTCAACGAACACCTCAGTAGGCTGAAGCTGAGGAACAAAGGCAAATTCAGATTCTGTAGGAAAAATGGGGAAACGCCAGAACACCTTATCGTGCGCCTAGACAACGACCGTTCGTGCTATGAACTTTGGTACGGTCGGTGCAGAGGATGGAGATAGTCTCAGATAGTGACTTTTGTTAAAACCTTGAGACTGTATGATGAGTTAAAATCCGTTATAACTCAAGAAAGGGGGACACACAATAGATCTGTAAGGTCGCGGTTATTAACTCCCCTCCTGAACATTCTATATTCTAGATTGAATAAATTGAAAAATATTTTAATTTAGTTTGCTAGAAATTTATATTATATTATTATTCATTATATTGTATTATAACCCTCCTTAATTCCAAACTAATTGGCATTTTTATTCCATATACCTTACATTTCCACTTCCAACATTCGAAAAATGAAATATCGTCCAAACGAAACGGAGAAGAAGCGACGACAAACGAAGAATAAAAATCTGACCCCGCCGCACGCAAAAGGATCATTAGCGGCAGCAATCCAGCTCGACATAAAATCGGTTTTTGTCGGAAACCGACGACAACATTAATTAGCGCGATGGCTGACAAATCTGAAGGCCGTGAAGATTTTTGATTCGCAACTCTCTCTCTCTCTCTTTCTCCCTTAGGGCCAATCCGACAGTGTCGGTGTAATTTGTTTTTGTTGCCCCGGTCCTTTGTAAACTGATTGGTTTTTTGTGGTTCGTTAAAAGGCTCTGACAAATATTTGCATGAGCAATGATGGATAACCGCTTTGAATAATAAGCTAGGTAAGTGGAACAACAACAATGGTGTAATAATAATGCCCAATTTTGGATTTTGTGATTTATTAAATATTGAACAAACCAAGGAATAGAAATATTTTAAGATTTGAGAAGGGCTCATGATTATAATAATGCAGACATAAATTTGTAATTAAATATTTTATATTATAAAGTAAAACAAAGAACTTATTAAGCCGGGTCCAGACTATGTAACAAAACATGTTAAATAACAAAGTTTTATAACTTGTTAGAGAAATTCAAGTAAAAAAGTTATAAAACACAATGTTATACAACAGTTTTCTTGTTATATAACAAAAATTATGTTATCCATTAGGTGTCGGTAAAGATCAAAGAAAGTTATAAAACTTTGTTTTATAACACGCCGCGACTTGTCCACACTTGTGTTATTAAACATTTAGGTACTGTAGGACGAGCGGCGTTTGAATTTAGTATTGCCAGAACTCTCGCGGTGCACACAGTAATTTTTGTTAATTTTTTTACGCAATGGAATGGTCGAAAGAACTTACCACTCATTTAATTGAGTTATTTCGTGAGCATCGAGTATTATGGGATCCTACCTTCATGGATTTTAAAAACAGGAATAAAAAACACGACGCATGGACTGAACTAGGTGCAGAATTGAAAACAAATGCAAGTGAAGTTGAAAAAAAAATGCGTATGCTTATGGGGCAGTTCCAGCGGGAGTTGAAAAAAGGGAGGAGTGGTGATGGAGCTGATGCTCCGTATAAAACAAAATGGATTTTTTTTAAAATGCTTTTATTTTTAAAAGACAAAAATGAGCCACGGCATTCTACTGATGGTGGTCTATCTCCCGAACAAGATACACAAGATACTAGTGACAACAAAACAGCAGAGGTAAGTACCCTACATTTTTAATTAATAACCAATTTGAAGTCAGTAATTATTCTGCCACGGCACTTTTCCCTCCTCACTGGTAAAGAACATAGAAAACTCTTCTCGTATTTCCTTGCCTAGCACACTGGGTTTTCTAGGAATCCGTTTGAGTCTCAGCAACGTACCATTTGGCTGACCTTCGACTCTCCATGTACCGGGTATTAGTTCCCCGGTAAACGTGTCCTCTGAATCAAAAGTACCTGGTGGACAGTAGGATGAAGATGATTGACCTTTCCTAAGAAAATTGTGGAGATAACAGCATCCTAAAACTATTTTTTCTGCTCTTTCGGGCTCAAGAAGCATTGGTTTTCGTAACACCCTGAATACGGCAGATAAAATTCCAAATGAATTTTCGACTACACGCCTAGCTCTACTATGTCTGTAATTGTAAATTCGCCCCTGTGAACCTTTCTGTTGAGTGCCTGGGAAGGGTGTCATAATATGCGGTTGCAAAGCAAATGCCTCATCACCTAGAAATACGAACGGTGAAGGTGAGGTTCTTCCCGGTAATACTTTCATTGGTGGGAGATTCAAGGAAGACGTTTCAAGCAGATGTTTAAATGTTGTGTTAGCATATACTCCGCCATCAGACAAACGTCCTTGGCAACCCACATTTACATAGGTAAAGCAATAGTTAGCGTCAACTATAGCTAAAAGCACTATGCTGAAAAATCCCTTGTAATTGAAATAGTCGCTTCCACTGTTCATTGGAGCTTGTAAACATATGTGTTTTCCATCCATACTACCACAACAGTGAGGGTAATTCCACTTCTGGTTAAAATCGTCTACAATCTGTAGCCATTCTTCTTGATATTTAGGCACCTAAAAAAAATGCTTTATAGTTTTATTTTTTGTCTTGCAGGAAGAAGGGCAACTAGAGTCACATCCAGAAGTGCAAAGTGATATCGAAAAATGTCAAGAAAAACCTGTAATAAAAACCGTTGCACGTGTTCCTACCACAAAAGGTACCAAGAGAAGAGTGTTAGATGCGAAATCTGAAGAAGCTTACGCGATAATGAAACAACTATCAAGTAACGTGAAAAAACGAGATGACTTCGATGTGTATGGTGAATATGTAGCCGGGATCTTGCGGAATCTAAAAAGCAAGTCGGTTCTAGCCGTCGCGAAATATGAAATAAATAATGCTCTCTACCGAGCGGAGATAGCAGAGATATCTTCAAATACACCTGAGCCATCCACTACTCCGGCATCTGATACACCTGCATCTACTCCACTTTCACCAACTACAACAGACACTGACACTCAATCATACAATAGACCTGGGTCGTCTACCATGCCGTCCGCTACAAATATATCCACTACTTCACCAATTCAAACAGACACTGACACTCAATCATACGCAGGCGCAGAAGACATAAGTGAGAATGAATTAACCTTTACACAAATGCTTCTGAATTTATAAATGTCCTGATTTTTTCTAATTGCAAATGAATGAATAAAGAGGTTTAGAAAAAGTCTATGTACTTACTTTTATTTTGTCGCTTAAACAGTCGATGAGAGCGTCGCACACTTCTGGCACAATATTCGAAATACTTTGCTTAGAAAATTTGAATAAATAGCTTAAACTTTGGTAGGAATCTCCACTTGCTAAGAATCTCAATGTAACTGCCAATCTTTCTTTTACTGGTATTGCATCTCGAAATGTTGTGTCTTTTTTTCCTATTTTATGGCCAATTTGATTTATAAGGTATTCGAAATCAGAACTGGTCATCCTTAGGAAATTTTTGAAACTACCATCACATTTAATTTCTCCTGTTAATGGGTGTATGTCATCCATTGCTAGATCCTTTAAAAGAGTTGTTCCACTATATGTTCCTCGAGTTCTTAACGATGGCCGTACCCAAAATCTTCGTTTAGACTTTACTCGTCGCCTACATAAAATCACGCAAGCTGCTGCTGCCAAAATTACATCCTCTACGTTTGAGGTCATTTTAAATACTACAGCTGCTACTACTTCGAGCAATTACACTTATTTTGTTTAGTTCTGTTTTGTTACATAGTGTGGATGTCTCTGCTATTTTATAACAAGTTATAAAACAAAGTTGTACAACAAATTTGTTGTATAACTTGATATTCAACATGTTTTGTTACATAGTCTGGACCCGGCTTTAGGATGCGGTGGAGCAAGGAGTCGGAAGTGACGTCATCAGCTAAGAACATGTAAAATAGGCTAATAAACAAGAATAAACAGGTTTAAAAAGCATTCTTTGAACAGCTTTAAAATAGAAATAAACAGGTTTGAACAAAAAATGAACAGGTGTGTTGTTTTAAGCTAAAAAGCCGTTCAAATCAGTTCAAAAGCGGTTCAAAGCAGTTTAAACCTGTTTATTCTTGTTTATTAGCCTATTTTACATGTTCTTAGCTGATGACGTCACTTCCGGCTCCTTGCTCCACCTCTAGTTCAGTCATTGGGGATTTTTGCTTGGAAAAAAGTCCGGAAGTTTTGCAACTTTGTAGGTTTATAGGTTTTTGGGGTCCCTAACTAAAATCCATAAAATGCACATTTCCAGACATGTCGCCGCCGGCGGCGCCGCCATCTTGCCGAGAAATTTGAGGGAAGCAAAATTAAAGAGAATAAAATCTCCTATAAAAAAGGTTTTATGAAAATTTTCGCTAAAGTCAACCGTTTAGGCACAAAATCCCTGGAAATTTTCCAATTTTGCGTAAAATATGATATATTATGTATAGTCGATTTTCCGAAATCAAATGTCGATTAGGGTTCATTAAAACTAGTTTTAGTTTAGTTTCTTCAATTTTGTCATGAAACAGTGGTGTATCATTAATTCGCTCATTAATTTATGAATAATTAGTTTTAATTATTGAAAATGTGTACTTGTTTCCACACAACCCAAGAGATAAAGTACATGGCGCGTTTATTTTAACGTGGTCTCTCCGGAGGCTTACTCTACTAGGTAAATTAAAAACTTTAACTTATCTGCACAAGCCCGACGGATCTGGCTCATTGATGTCAAAGTCGATTGTATCTGCTGTGTTGGGCTCATCAGGGTGGTCTCTCAATACGTCCAACTCTTCATCTTCAGCCGCCAGAGGGATATCTACAGGCAAGTCCAACCCCTCTTCATCGGATTCATCGAGTGACACTTCAGTGACATTGTCACAGGATTTCCCATTGCAGTATGCACAAATCATTGAACATTTTAATCCTGCTTTTCTGCATCCGCAGGCATTTGTGGCTTTACCACAGTTGCTGGTTTTGCATTTACAAGATAAAAATGCCACTAGGGATTTTGGAGCTGGATCTTTCAACGTTGTGACTGGAGTAATGCCTGTTTTTGTTTTCTTCCAACCCCATTCTTCGGCATCTTTGGTACAACCAGACCAATGCTGAACCTGGTGGTAAGATCGCAATGAATGCTGTCCAGCACGACAATTAGTTATTCATAAATTAATGAGCGAATTAATGATACGCCACTGTTTCATGACAAAATTGAAGAAACTAAACTAAAACTAGTTTTAGTGAACACTAATCGACATTTGATTTCGGAAAATCGACTATAGTATGTATATCATACTTTACGCAAAATTGTAAAATTTCCAGGGATTTTGTGCCTAAACGGTTGACTTTAGCGATAAATTTCATATAACCTTTTTATAGGAAATTTTATTCTCTTTAATTTTGCCCTCTTCAAAGTTTTGCAAAAAACGCATAGTTTTCGAGATATTTAGAAAATACCGATTTTGGGCGCCATCTTGGCAAGATGGCGGCACCAGCGGCAAGTCTGGAATGTGCATTTTATGAATTTTAGTTAGGGACCCCAAAACCTATAAACCTGCAAAGTTTCAAAACTTCCGGACTTTTTTCCAAGCAGGACCTTTTTTTGATCCCCAATGACTGAACTACTCACCCTGGCGCAAAATCGACCATCTCTCTCTACTACTTATATTTATTTGGAGAAGAAATTTGAATAAAAGCATAAAAAAAAGATCGTCGTGGTAGAAAAAAAAACGTGTGTGCACTATGTGCGCATATTTGAAGTGAAACTTCTTACTAACGGCCAATAAATTGAAGGATTTGAAGAATATTTATTTTTTTATTAATGCTTTTTATAAACTTCAAAAAAATTAGATTAATAATATAAAACCATATACTATTCTAGGTTTATAATTTTATAAGGTATTTTTAATTTTTATTAAAAAACGATAATTCTATCACTAGGCCGGATAGCCTGGCAGCTGTGACTATTAAACCAAAATACTACTACATCTATATCTCTGACTATTACTAACTGCCTACTAACCAACAATTTGCTTTGTGTGGTCGGTGGTCTGTTTTTGTTTAAATGTTTTGTTCATTATTCATGTTAGGGATTTATTATTACTTTAATGTTAATCGTTAGGCAACCAGTAAACTCATAAAATATTTATTTCTTTTTCATAATCAAAATTGTCACTCTAAATTTTACATAACTAAATAACTAAACTCTAAACCGCTGTCTTTTTTAGACATATGTCACTTGTCTTGTCATTATTGAATTCATTATTCGAATTCTAAGGCCGGATTCTCACCACATCGGACCGACCACAATCGTCCAGATTTCGATCGCGCGACGAAGATCTTGCACTTAATCGCAAATAGGTACGTGCCCACTCACAAGATTTCAGTCGTGACCGATTTTAATCGGGCGATATAAGTCGTACGCGACGCTGGCGCTTCTTGCAACGTCTTTGGTCGGCAGTCGGCAGTTCTTTCTTCCACTGACACACATTTTGTGTAATTTGTAACTCGTTTGGAAATATACGCCCGCACCATGTTACATAGGAGGTTAAAGCTGTCTTTCGACATGCGGTACATAGCTTTGAACTTGTCGTTGTGGTATACCAATCCACGAGCGCAAATGAAAGCACCTCTGTTTTGATTTTCCGCTATGTACGGATGTACCCAAAACCGGTGACGGCGCCGGCGTCTTCGTCTTATACACGCGAGTGCTACAACTTCGTCTTCACTTGACGACATCTTGGAGGAGACTAAGTATCTCCACTTTAAAATAAATCTGACCATAATCGTCCCGATGCAATCCGATGAACACATTCAATCGATTTCGGTCGGAACGGCCACAATCGAATCGATCTGGATCAGGACGATTATGGTCGGTCCGATTTGGTGAGAATCCGGCCTAAGAATGTTGTCAAGAAAAGTTTCATCTTAAAATAAAATTATTATTTACCAGATTAATAATATAGAAATTACAGTTCAATTATAAACAATTCATTATTTATAGTGATTTACAATAATTTTATTAAATTATACGAGTATTCTCGTTGATTATTGGTTTGAAATAAATATGACAGTGTCCTCCAATGAAAATCCGAGTTACTGACTCTAAATTCTAACTCTGAGCTCGCAAATGAGCTAGATACTTTACTCAGGCCGTTATTCAGAAGCTACAAACCTATCAATAAAAATATGCATGAAAATTTACTTCCTGGCACACAAGGATGGAACTATATTAAGTTAATTATAGTGATTTTCTTAGCCGCGCATAGCACATATCGTTACACCTATCACACCTATCACGAGATAGCTGGGTTAAATAGTTTTACAAAGGGGTATATCTACCCGGAATAGGGTAGCTGTGGCAACACTGCAGCTATCACTATTCCTCTCGCGCGACACGGCCTTCTCGCGACCGTCATTCAAGGCCTTGAATTTTTACTCCCAACGCGCGTAAAGAATAATAATAGGATAATTATAGAATGGAACCTTTGATGGAACCGACAGACAGTTAGACTGACTCCTGTCTCTCAGACAGTTGGACTCCTGTCTCAATCATTTTAATTCACAAAATGATTCCATCAAATTTACGATTGAGAAAGAGAAGGACCTCTGTCTGCCGTTTCTAGATGTCCTTGTTAGTAGAAATGAGGGATCTATTAAGACTTCTGTATATAAAAACCCTACACAAACGGAGCAATATTTAAGTTTCCAGTCAAACCATTCTGACGTAACTAAGAAAGGAATAATTAACACTTTATGTCATCGAGCAAACACTATATGCAGTGGCCAAGCATCACTTAATGTTGAATTAAATAATATTAACGGATTTGCTTCAGAACGGTAACTTTGAGAAGTCTATAGATAAAATTAAATCAACTTGTAAAACTGACTCATTGGATTGGTTCATCGACCTGAGGAGGATGCTCTCTTGACTATTCCATATATGAAAGGAACGTCAGGCGAATAGCTAAAAACTATAATATTAAAACTGTCTTCAAATCTGAATCGACTCTAAGAAGCGTCCTTACACAAACAAGGCCGTAATCATTGAAAAAAAAGAAAAAGTGCATCTACCAGGTACCTTGTGAATGCGGTAAATCGTATATGGCCAAACGTCCTCTAAATATACGGTTTAGCGAGCACAAAAAACATGTACAAAAACAATGAAGTCAGTTATTGCGGACCATATCTGGTCAAAACAGCATTATATAATGTTGCAGGAAGCTCGGGTTGTCCACAGGCCACCTCATTGGAAAAAAGCGTCGTATATTTATTACAATTATTAGTTACCAAAAGGTATATTTAAATAGTACATAAACGTATGAAAAAATAGAGCTTTTATGGATTGCAAATTAACTAATTTATAACAGGAAAAAGTATCTAGTTCAACATATATACCATTTATCATTGATCTTAATATGCAAATATGCATAATAATTTCTTTCCTTCGGTTGGTTTTATATAAGTTTAAGGATTATAATAAATTGCGTCTCATAATCTAGAAAATTATGAAATTTATATTCATTTTATAATGTCCCATTAAACATTATACGATGTAATAGAACCATTTTTCAGCAATAGAGTATGAATAATAGTCGGTATTAACCGGAAACGGGAAGCTGCCTGATTGGTCAGGCATATGAAAAATCTATTTTAATCGCGAGCGAGTCACATTTCATTTTCTCGTTCGGTGGAGTGATACATATAGGAAAATTCTAA